TATGAAGCTCGAATAACTGGCCTTTTATGGAATCTTCCTTGAGTTTTCCGGGTATGTGCAGTACTTCCTGCTCAGTGCTCCATGGCGTCTTCTACTTATCTCTAGTGTGGCACTTATCATACGGTTCAGAAATTTGTCATTTACATGCTCTCTCTCTCTCGCTCTCTCTCTCTCTCTCTCTCTCTCTCTCTCTCTCTCTTTATGTTTTTTGAAAGTTTTCCTTCCTCTCTCTTTTTTTTTAAAAAAAATCAAAGTTTACTGGGGTGACAATTGTTAGCAAAGTTACATAGATTTCAAGTGTACAATTCTGTAATACATCATCTATATGTCACATTGTGTGTTCACCACCCAAAGTCAGTTCTCTATCCAGCACCATGTATTTGATCCCCTTTACCCTCATCTACCATATTAGTTTCAGGTGTACAAACCAATGTAATAGTTAAGACATTTACACCCCTCACAAAGTGATAGTCCCCCTCCCCAATCTATAACCCTCTGATATCATATATAGCTGTTACAATTCCATTGACTCTATTCCCTATGTCAACTATAATTTAATATATATATATATATATATATGTATACATATATATATATACACATATAGTCATGGGATGTGGTATACAGTATAGGGAATACATGTTCTCTTTTTGTTGAGCAGGACACTCCTAGAGGGTAAAGACCTTCTGTCTTTTTTGCCTTTTGTATCTCTTGAACCCTAGCATGATTGTTTTCCTGGTTGGATAAGTCCTCTATGATTTCGAGACCCCACCTCAGCAGACTTCTCTTAGTCCTTGGCTGTCTTCTGTTGAGAGGTGACATAAGGCCTTATCAACCCCCAACATATGTTCCCTTCATCACCAGTATCACCAGCAAATAGTACAGGAAAGAGTCAAAAGTCCAAACTACAGAGAAAAGAAATGAAAGAAATGTAAAAAGCATATCCCTTTCTCGAGACAAATAAAAAGCAGAAATTATGCATTGATGTGCTTGCTGCCTAACAGATTCATGAGTGTAGTTGTAATTATTGTTATAATTATCAAATATTTGCTGAACTTCCAAAGGATGTTCCCAGCATTTTTAAAAAAATGAGATGGTTGTTTGGAAGACTTTCCTTCTTTTTTTCCTTCCTTCCTTCCTTCCTTCCTTCCTTCCTTCCTTCCTTCCTTCCTTCCTTCCTTCCTTCCTTCCTT